TGCTACTATGTACTTCAGACAGACATATTAGCATAGGAACACTCAACATGGTGTGCCTGCATCAAAGAAGTTGCTGTGCTCTATGAGAAAAGTAGAATTGCAATAGCTCAAAGAAACATGAGATGCACAAATTCAGAGACATCTGTTTTCCAAATGTTCACATGGATTTTGTGTGCCTGACCTATGGTAGAGCCTATTGAACTCTTATTGATCTGATCAGGCACAGTCAGATATACTGTTCCTTGACCCCAACAGAATGATGTCATTTAGGTCCTCTTTGAGAATGAAGGACAACAACCAACCAACCATCATGGAACACCATAATTTCAAAATTGCACTTGTCGTACTACATACAACAAGGCTGCAATATGTTAACAGTGCCATGCAACACTTTTTTCATGTTGGACCTGCCGTCCATTAAAACCTCAAAAACCTCTTGTATATGAACTGTTTTCTATAAAGTTTCTCTTTTTGCCCCAAGATTCCTTTTCCTTATATTTATTCAACTTTGCCATTTACAGTGGCTCAACAACTATATATACCACTTCTTTAATACTTTTGGATGAGCCCCAGAAAGATTAAGTGAACTGCCCAACATTAAATAAAGTTGCCAATTAGGCACTAACACCTGCCAGTTAATTCCATTTAATTTAACTTAATTTAACAAATATTTACTAATTCCCTGTTATACCAAAGACATTGATTTGGATATAAAAAGGTATACATAAGTATAAGTCTACATATATACATTATGTATACAAAAGGTATACATAAGATAAGTCTATATTATATCATGAGGACACAAAAATATGATAAAGAAAAGACTTCATTAGAGCTAAGGAGAGAGTTAAATAATCATCTCTGAGAAAATTTGGAGCAGAAGATATCATGTTCTGCTAAGGGGACATGTGAATACTGCACAGAAAAAGTTGCACCTACAGCTGTGTCTTGAGGGCAGAAGAGGATTTTAACAGGAAGGGTTGTAGAAAGAGCTTATTTAGTGCATGCTGGTTAGTCAGAGAAAATTCATAGAGGACAGAGAATATACTAGAAATAGTAAGCACCATCTAGTTGTGTTGGAATATACAACTCATAAACAGGAGTGAGTAATATTAACCAAGCATTGAAACATAAGTAGTAACCAAATTGTAGAGACTTATATGACAGAGAAATGAGTTTATATTTTTTTCCTATGACTAGTAAGAAGTCAGTTATAGAAGATTTTTTGAGTTAAGGAATCACATTCTCAGTTGTGGTAGTAAGGTTATTTTAATACAGGTCCTAAATTATCAAAACAAAACATAACTTTGAGAGATGGTCAAATTTTAAAATTCTGTTCTTTTTAAATATGACTTGAAGTAAGTGAGCTTCTGAAGTGAGCTTACAGTATTTTTCCTTCACAAATAAGCTTATAATACTATTAATATATTCTCAAATAATTTAATCTGTACTGGGAATCTTTAATGGCTGTTGACCTGAATTTAGAATTTACAGAGCTTTGTATCACTGTATATCTCATATATGATAATTATTTGCCCACCCATTTCAAAGAAAATGGGACTATATCAATTATTAAAAACATGTTAATATTTAATGTTTTAAAGAAATTGCAGTTTTTTTTTTAAACTGCTGTCAGGTGTAGCCAAATTGAATGACATTTAAAGTTTTCTAGAAGCTGAAGGATTTAGGAAATATTTTCCCATTGCATAGTTAAAGAATATTTAATACATTTCTGAGAGCTACAGAAGGACAGAAAGTTGTAAGGAAAATAAATAATAGAAGATGATGGATTGTCACAGTTTGCTCTGATACTCAACTGGGTCTATTTTCCCTATTTAGGTGTTAAAACAAACAAACAAACAAACAAAACAACCCCTAAAAGCTAAGTAATAGTCTATAAATGTTGAATTGATACCTACTTATAATAATAATTCACAAAGATGTAACACTGGAAGGCTTATGAAGTGCCCTCCTTTTGAAAATCCCTTAAAGTAATTAATTCAAGGATCATCACCATTTTATAGAAGAGGAAACTGAGGTAGTGACTTGCCTACAGAGACATAAGTGACTGAACCAGGATTAATATACACTTCTGATTGTGAGACCAAAGCTGTTTTCACTGTACCTCACTAGTTTTTATTTTAAACTAGAATAGAAGTGATGTATGTAAAAAAAAAATCTTGATTTGTATTGTGTGAACAGTTCAATTTTCAGAGATCAGATACAAAGAGATGTTAACCAACTTATAGAATTCAACAAATTTCAACTCCACAGATATTTATTTAGCTCCTGCCATGTGTAGAGAATTATGCTCAGGTTGAGTGAGACAGAAATGTGTCCTGTCTAAAGGAATTTATGTGAGAGAGTAAATTAAAGGAGGGAGCATGCACTCAAATGACTAAAATAAAACTAGAATAAAGTAATTGCATAAGAATGATAGGAACAAAGGGCTAGAAAAAGATCTGAGGAGGGAAAAAAATTACTCTTTAGGAAGCAGAAAGACTTCCAAACAGGGAAACATTTCAGCTATCTTGAATTATGAGGAAGAATTCAAAAGGTAGAATTGTGTGGGAAGGCATTTCAGGAACAGAGAGTGCTATTAACAAAAACACAGAATTGTGGTCATGAATGGGTAAACAGTCCAAGATGCCGAGAACACAGACTGCAGAAAAAATTATATGCAATAAAGCTAGAATGTGCATGTGTGTGACTTTTATTATTAATGAATTTTGTTTTGACCAAGAATATACAAATTCCATCTTATTCGCAGGTATAACATCTCCTCCCCCACTACTATAATACCCTCAAACTGATACAAAGACAATTAGGGCACAGTTTCAGCTCTCCTGAAAGTTCTTCCATAAGAAGAAGAATACAATATCTACACACATTGGCAATATTCTATAATAAATGCATATTTCATATATTGTTCAAGCCTTTTAAAAGTAGCTCTTTATTGCCTCTTGAATCAAATATAATTTCTTAGGTTTGGCATATAAAATTCTCTACAACCTGGATTCAGTCTATCTTTGCAGATTATTGAACATTACTTTCACTCATTCACCCTTGCATTACAGCCAAACCGTCCTACTTGCTCTTCCCAATGCAGGCCCCTTGATTCCCTGTCTCTGTGCCTTTGTATAGGATATCACTCATGCCAAGAATGTCTTTCCTCTTCATTTCCAATTCTTCAAATCCCTAGTTTTCTGTGAGACTTGGATAAAGTATTACCTCCTAAATAATTAACATATACCTAATCATACCCTACACATCTCTGCAAACCAGCAGCCAAATCCCATTCCCAATCCTCACTGCACATTACCTTTTTCCATTCCCCTCAACTCTCCTAACCCAAAGTCCCAAACTAATATTATCTCACCCATTTTGCTATGCCCTCTAGAATATCTCTTTTATAGGCAACATCTTCCTTAATCGTAAATCTTTTCCTATTCCACTCTTTCCATCTCCTAGTAATCACTGAAATCTGGATGCCTTCTGATGACAAAGCCTCCCTGGCTAACCTTTCTGTAATGGTCATACCTTCATTCGTTCCTCTCGGCTCACTGATCAAGGAGAGGGATGTTGAATACTATTCACTCCATATTGTCACTTCCAGGTTCTCCTGCTGCTTTCATCACTCTTAAACTTCTCCTCCTTGGAGTTTCATAAAATCCACATCTTCCACCAATCAAAATCTTAATATCTTTTGACTGCAGACCTCCAGGTCACTCCCCCTCCTTCTTCAACTAAGTTCAGTACCTGATTTACACTTTTTCTTTCCTCACCAATTTCTGCCCTCATACTTGAGAACTTCACTATTGATTCTCCCTCAGACAGCTTAACCACTCAATTTTTCAATCTATTCACTTCTCATGACCTACTTCTCTACCCTACCTCAACCGCACACAAAAACAGACATACTCTTGATCTTGCTATCGCCCAGAACTGCAACATACCTAGTCCCTAAGGCTCACAACCTAAGTATCATCCTTAACCCCGCACTATCTCTCACCCTCCATATGCAATCTATTTCCAAGGCCTGTCAATTTTATCTTTACATCTCTCCAATATGACCCCTATTCTCCTCTGATAATGCCACCATCCTGGTACAGAACCTCTTCATTGTGCACTTGGACCAGTGCAATAGCTTTCTAATGTGTCTGCCTGCAACAAGTCTTTCCCCACTTCAGTCCATCCTCCATTCAGTCACCAAAATGTTTTCCAAAAATTTAGGTTTGACCATGTCATCATCCCCGAAATCAATGAACTCCAATGACTCTTTATCATATCCAAGATAAATATAAAATCATCTGTTTGGCTTTCAAAGTCTTTTATAACCTAACACCCATGCCCACCTTTCTAGTCTTTCTACTCCCTGCTCCCTACCATGTACTTTTTCATCTAGTGTCACTGGCCTCCTTACTGTTTCACAAACAAGATATTTCATCTTTCATTTCCATGAATATTCTGCCGCTGACCCCTTTGCCTAGAATCCTCTTCCTCTTCATCTGTCCTTCCTGGCTCCTCTGGTTTCCCTTTAATTGCAATTAAAATACCATCTTCTACAGGAAGATTTACCCAGACTCATTTAATTCTAGCCCTTTCCTTCTATTGTTTCCTATTTATGTTGTATAGATAAAAATTGTTTATACATAGTTATTTGCTTGTTCTCTACCATATTAAATTGTAAGCTTCTTGAGTTCAGTAACTGTCTTTTGACTCTATATACTCAGAACATAGAACAGTGCCTGGCACATAGTAGGTACTTCACAAATGCTTATTGACTAACTGACAATAGTGTCTGATATATATGTATTGAATGAATTACTGAAATGAAAATAATAATTTATTCATATGTTTATATTGTTTATGCTTCCTTTAGAACCATGGCCTCTAGAGTCATGACAGTGTTCTTTTGCCTGTATCTCCTTAAGCAGCAACACAAAGAAAAGAGCCGTAAATCTTCTTTGATCATTAAAACTATTTTATTGGAGTCAGCTGTGTCAAATGAAATGAGAGCTTAGCACTCCCCTTGATAAGAATGGAAGAGGTCCTAGTGACCTTTAGAACACATATACACAGTTAAGGCATTGCCACCTACTCTACGTGCATGTAACCATGGTTTGGGGTATATGGGGTATTCAAGGAGGACTAAGACCTCTAGTGTGAGGGTTTGTCAAACCCTTTTCAGGATTGCTCATCCACCTTTGGTGTCTACCTAGCACTAAACTATTGCCTGTGGTTCCAAGATGCTGTAACATTCACAGCTTGTCTCCGAAGACAGACCAAATCAGATTGAGGGTAACCAACAGGCCTCAAACACATTCTTGAGTTGGGAGTAGGGAGGGGTACATCTACCTCTAACACTTGAAACCTCCTTTCCACTTCACCCCACCCCCCACTTCAGCAGTTTAGAACAATTTGTTCCAAAGGCCATGAAGGCAGCTGAAGTAGGCACCATGGAGTTCTTGCAGATTTGCCAGACATTGAAGACACCAAGGTCATCTACCCCATCCCAGACCATTGCCAGTCATCTTCATTTTTTCCACTGGACTTCAACTACACTACAAGAGAGAGTGAGGCTGACCACTTTGTCAACTCTGCCTCACTTAAATCCAATTCAAACATAAATCAAGACATCACTTCATGATGTCATTGGTCCTCTTCAAAAATGGAGGACAAACAACTGGATTCAGCTGTTATTTCTATACCTAATAGTACAATGCAGAGGAAATTTTATAAGAAAGATGATCCAATAGTGTTTCTACTCCAGAAATTATGAGAGTTAAGGAAGCACTGATATCATGTATGCCAATATACTTTGCAGTGACATTAGTTTTCATTCTTTTTGAGATATCATATATGTATGCTTAATGAATTTAATACTAACAACAAATAACATTTACATAGCACTTAGGTTTGCAAACTGCATTACAAATATTATCTCCATTAATCCTGACAATAAATCTGGGAAGTATTTGCTATTATGATCCCCATTTTAGAGATGAGGAAACTAAGAAGACTATGGTGAAATAACCTAACCAGGATTACACAACTGGTTAAGTATTTGAGACTAGATCTAAACTCATGTATTCTTTACTCCAGACTGGGTACTCTAGCCCCTGTACCACTAGCAGCCTCCAGACAACTATGACTCCTCTCTTATTCAATGCTTACTACTCTTTGTGCTATGTTAAATACTACCTTTCAACTATTTACTTAGCGTCAAAGGACTCCAGTTTCCTCAACTATACAAGAAGTTATTACTTAATAATCTCAAAGATTCTGTGCATCTCTAAATTCTGTAATTTATTATAGAATAACTTTCATTTTCATTTCATTTTAGAATAAGGCAGAATTATAATATATTGCTTCAGTTTGGTCCTAATGAGGGATTTCATTTTTGTAATTAAACTTTTAGTGAGAAACTCCTTTTATCAATGTACATCAGCAATTATTGTTTAAGTCTTAGAAAGTTGCCTGAGTCACTGAGAGTTTAGATGACTTGTCCAGATCACATAAGTGATATTTGTTAGAGATGAGACTGGAATCCAGATCTTCCTTATTCTATTATTATATATTTATAATTAGAGAAGCTCGTGTAGCTTCAGACTAAAAACCTACAGTTCCTTAGGCCATATAGCAAGATAGGAAGAACATTATCTTTTTATACCTTTCTGTCTTCTTTGAGAAATGATTTTTTTTCAACCCTGCTTCTTCTGCCTCCAAACATTTAGTATCCTCATGTTATTCTCAAATTGCTCTCTTGTTATCCAGTATTTCCCACCAATATCTTTCTTTTCTTGTTAACTATTCAGAGTTCTTATGCCCTAAATTTGAATTATATATTGATGAGACTATATAATTAAAATAATTCAGAATATCTTAATGATGAAATAATGGATTATATAACTCTATAATTGATATATATAATATATATAGCATATTTTTTCCAATTGCATGTAAAGATAGTTTTCAACATTCATTTTATAAGATTTTGAGTTCCAAATTTTTCTTTCTCTGCTCCCCTCTCCTTAAGACAGCAAGTAATCTGATATAGATTATAAATGTATAATCATGCTAAACATATTTCCATGTTAGTCATGTTGTGAAAGAAGAATCAGAACAAAAGGGAAAAAAACAAATATAGTTTTAAAACTTTTAGATGTTCCTTAACTATTCTGCATCGACAATTTAATTCAATTTATTTTTATTTGAATTATTAAGCACCTAGGGAATATAATATAAAAGTTCAAACTCCAGTGCCTGCAAAGCATGTTACCCCAGACAAATTTTTTGATTTCTTGGAGTTTGGTTTCCTCATCTATAAAATGGAGATAATAATATTTGCAGTACTCACTCCACTGAGTTTTACAAGAGTTTATATTTTGTTTTATTTTATTTCGGTGGGGCTGGTGGTGGCAGCAAGCTAAGATTGGAAATTTAGGCAAGACATAAACCCTGTTCTCATGGGCCTTCAAGGCTCCTTTCTGGCCCTTATTCCCTTGATTTAACCTGCTTGTGACAAATCTGCATTGGTGACTGAAGATGATCTACCAGTGCCTTATCACTACAAGCAGACCTGTACCTTATGGGATTCAATCAAATAAAATAATCAGTGTTTGTGGTAGATGTATGGGTTAGCATAACAAGTGATATTTGAGACTGTGAATTGCTCATTCACAAATACAGAATATATCCTGTCATTCTAGTGCATATTTAAATCTATAGCTAAATTCTGATAACATAGTTTCGTTTAATAATAAGTCAGAATTGTATTATATTGTTTGTATTTGGTCCTGTTAAGGGATTTCATTATTGTAGTGGGACTCTTAGTAAGAATCTCCTTTTACTGATTAGTGTCAGCAACTATTGCTCAATTATTAGTAAATTGCTTGGGTCACTGAGTTTGGGTGACTTGTCCAGGTCACATGAGTGGTATTAGTTAGAGATGGGACTTGAATGAAGATCTTCTTTATTCTAACACTAACTCTCTGTCCAATATCGATGGGACTTGAATGAAGATCTTCTTTATTCTAATACTAGCTCTCTGTCTAATATGCTGTCTAAAAGTTTTCTCATAAAACTACATTATATTTTCCAGAGAGAGAGCAAAAAAACTAACCATATAGTCTAAGGGCAGCTTAGAGGGACAGAATTCCATGCCTAGGATTTTGGCAATAACATGGTCCAGAAAATGGGAAGATCAACACTGGATGTGCAACACCAGGTCAGGGAAAAGCTGAAAATTTTAATCTCTTTAAAGGTTAGGAAATGTTTCCTTACAAAAAGTCAATGAGGCAGATATATCATTTTTTTTTTTTTTTTTTAACAAATGAGGAACCTGAAGACCAGAAAGGTTAAATTAGTTGCCTGGGGATACCATAGCCTGAAATTGGTCCTAGACCTAGCCTAATTCTTTTGTTGTTTCTAATACACCACACGCAGGGAAGGTCCAATTATTCTAGGAATAAATTTAAGTGAGTAAAGAAGGCTATCATGGGAGAAATAAATGAGAAAGCTAACTACTCTTACTCAAAACCTAAAGTGAGACCAAAATAAGCAGCAACAGGGCAAAAGTTTGTATGTCCACATGCTAAGCAATTAATAACTAGTATTTCCTTTGTTACACATAAACTGAATATCAGGGAAAAGAAGACAAGGACCAAGTCATTTGTTGATGAAAAAAAGAGCTAGATTAGAGGGAAACGTCACATTATTGATGTGTCCTGTTGACAAAATGATCCAGAAGGTGTGTGTGTGTGTGTGTGTGTGTGTGTTTAATGCTGTATAGACCATCCCTCACTCCTTTATTTTTTTAATTTCTTTTTATTTTTAAGGCAATTGGGGTTAAGTGACTTGCCCAGATTCACACAGCTAGTAAGTGTCAAGTGTTTGGTCTGAGACTGGAATTGAACTCAGGTCCTCCTGACTTCAGGGCCAGTGCTCTACCCACTGCACCACCTAGCTGCCCCTCACTCCCTTATTTGGGCAAAAACAATGTGAATGAAGTGCAGAACTCTCTATTGCATTAAGCTATTTTCAGTTGCAAAGACATGAATTTACTTTTTTTGTTTGTTTGTTTTCACATATTATTATAGACAATAGACTAGGTCTCCTAAGTACATTCTTCTTTGGGGGTTAATTTTTTTTTTTTAATTTTCCATTCTTCTGCTGAAGTGATGAGCTGGTAAAGTACCTATCAATTTACAAGCAGGAGCTTTGTTTAATATAATTTTTAGGACCATAATTGTGTTAGTTTTCCCTGGGTGTCCTTGTCTGTCTATAGAAAACCATGAAAATCACATGCTATGTCACATGATACAGGATTGGTGCTATTGGTTGGCAATGTTTTCCCTGGAGGTCCTGGAGGTCTAGCCATTCTCTTATTTGCCATCTGCTATTCACAGTGAAGAGATGGGTAGAACTGCATGACATAATTTTCCTTTCCAAAAGCCATCCAGAATGCATTATATTTTGATAAGTTTTCACAGATGGAATAATTATCTTTATGTAGCCAAGAAGAGGTCATAGAGAAGAAATTTTGTCATTAGATTCAGTTTCAATCTGTACATGTCCACAGATTATAATATTTCTCATCCCTTAAATCATAATTAGTCTCTTTTGCAAACAATTGTTTTGAGTCACACTGGATCATTTTCCACCTATATATGTCCATGCAATATCATGTATTACTTCAAGCATGACAGTGTTTATTTGTCATAGTCACTTAGCTATGCCTGAAAAAAAGTAATGATTTTCTAGGCAATTGAAAAATGTGTTGTACATGTACATTGGGGACGATGTATCCTAAGCTGCTGATGCAAAGATCTTTTATGAGGTTTTATATTCAACACAACAGCAGAGTTTAATTTCAGATTTGGGAAAACAAATTAGTCTTAGTTATGCTATCAAGAGTCTTCAGCACTCTTTTTTATTTTTCTTCCTGCATGTCAAATAATAAAATATAACAATGTTATACCAAGGTTATAAAGTTTTTTTAATAATGAAAGGCTTCAAAACTTTTCAACACAAAAGCAGAATCATGTTATAAGTGATTAATAGTTGTAGTTAGTTAAAACCCATTTTGAAAGGTGTATTCTATATTTGTAAAAATATGTATTTCTT